GTTATCTCAGAGCAGTGACCTCTGCTTTCAAGGCCTCAGTTTCCCTTTCTGTAAGAGCAGGGGGTCGGACTCCGTGATCTGAGAGGCAGCTCACTGCCACCCTCTTGGGGATCTCTCACCATTCACTTCAGATTTCTAGGCCTCATCTTCCCTTTCAGTGATAGCAGGGACTAGAGTCCGATTATCTGAGAGGGGTCTGCCAGGCAATGGCTGATCTCAAAGTACTCACATCGGATTTATAGGTCTCTGTTACCCTTTCAATACAAACAGGGCTTTAGACTACATGATCTGACATGCCACTCCCTGAAAGCATCTGGGTGATATCACAGCAGTCAATTCAGGCTTCTAAGGTCTCAGTTTCCCTCACAGGGAAAGCAGGGGCTAGGACTGGTTTATCTGATGGGTGTATGCCAGCTTGGGTATGGTATGAGACAAGTTACTTAAGCTTCGTAGTTCTCAGTGTCCCTTTCAGTGAAATCAGTGCCTAGGACTCAATGATTTGAGAAATTTCTGCAAGCTTATGGCTGAATTCATAACAGTCACTTCAGGATTGTTGTCCTCAGTTTCTCTTTAAGTGAAGACCAAGATTAAAGTATATACCCTGTGTGGGCACCTGGAGCCTTGGTGTTATTTTAGACCAGTCAGCTCTGCTTTCTAGGCCTCAGGTTCCATTTCAGTATCATCAGAGGGGTGGACCCCATGATCTGAGATGCCTCTCACTGCAACTCTCTGGGTGATCTCTGACCATTCACTTAGGACTTCTGGGTGTCTTCTTCCCTTTCAAGGAAAGCAGTGGCAAGGATTCCCTTATGAGAGAGGGATCTCTTATCTCATGGATAAATTTTTAACAGTCACTTCAGGTTTCTGCACCTCGGTTTTACCTGCAGTGCCATCACTGGCATAAAATTGATGACCTATATGGGCCCTGACTGATTATGCGTGATCTCACACCAGTCATTTCAGATTTTTAGACCTCAGTTTCCCTTTCACTAACATCAGAGGTTTGGACTGTCTGATTTGAGATGCCCTTTACTGTCACCCTCTGGGTAACCTCTCAGCAGTCACTTGAAACTTCTATACCTCATCTTCCGTTTTTGGGAAAACCTGGAAAAGGATCCCATAATCAGAGAGGGTTTTGCCAGCTTGTGTATGATCTCATTAAAGTCCTTCAACTTCCTAGGCCTCAGTGTCCCTTTCAGTGACATCAGTGCCTAGGACTAAATTATGTGAGAAATTTCTGTCAGCTTCTGGGTGAACTCATAACAGAGTGTTCAGCTTTATGAGCCTCAATTTCCCTTTCTGTGAGAGGCCTGGGTTAAAATATGCCCCGTGTGTGCACTTGAAGCCTTTGTGTTATCTCAGAGCAGTGACCTCTGCTTTCAAGGCCTCAGTTTCCCTTTCTGTAAGAGCAGGGGGTCGGACTCCGTGATCTGAGAGGCAGCTCACTGCCACCCTCTTGGGGATCTCTCACCATTCACTTCAGATTTCTAGGCCTCATCTTCCCTTTCAGTGATAGCAGGGACTAGAGTCCGATTATCTGAGAGGGGTCTGCCAGGCAATGGCTGATCTCAAAGCATTCATGTCTGATTTCTCCGTCTCAGTTCCCCTTTCAATAACAATAGGGGATTAGACTCCAAGATCTGACATGCCACTCCCTGAAAGCATCTGGGTGCTATCACACCAGTCAATTCAGGCTTCTAAGATCTCAGTTTCCCTTACAGGGAAAGCAGGGCCTAGGAAAACTTTATCTGATGGGTGTATGCCAGCTTCGGTATGATATTAGACCAGTTACTTAAGCTTCAAAGTTCTCAGTGTCCCTTTCAGTGAAATCAATGCCTAGGACACAATTATTTGAGAAATTTCTGCAAACTTATTGCTGAATTCATAACAGTCACTTCAGGTTTCTAGGCCTCAGTTTCTCTTTAACTGAAAGACCAAGTTTAAAGTGCCCTGTGTGGGCACTTGAAGCCTTAGTGTTATTTTAGACCAGTCAGCTCTGCTTTCTATGCCTCAGTTACCCTTTCAAAAACAACAGGGAAGCTGTCCGCCAGTTCCGCCATATTTGAGTCGCCAAAATGACGAACACAAAAGGAAAAAGGAGGCGGACTCGATACATGTTTTCTAGGCCCTTTCGAAAATGTGATGTTGTCCCTCTGGCTACATATATGCGAATATACAAGAAAGGTGATATTGTACATATCAAGAGCATGGGCATAGTTTAGCAAGGAATGCCCCAGAAATGTTACCATGGCAAGACTAGATGGGTCTATAATGGTACTCAACATACTGTAGGCATTGTTGTAAACAAACAGGTTAAGGGCAAGATTCTAGCCAAGAGAATTAATGTTCATATTGAGCATATTAAGCATTCCAAGAGCAGAGACAGCTTCCTGAAGCAGGTAAAGGAAAATGATCAGAAGAAGAAGGAAGCCAAAGAAAAAGGCATTTGGGTTCCACTGAAGTGCCAGCCTGCTCCACCCAGAGAAGCACACTTTGTCAGAACCAATGGCAAGGAGCCTGAGCTGTTGCAACCGATCCCCTACTAATTCATGGCATAAATGGCTGTAAAATAAAAGGAATAAAAAAATTCTTGGTTTAAAAATAAACAAAGACAAAAGTGGATTAGACTTCATGATCTGCGATGTCCTTCCCTGATAGAATCTGGGCGATTTCACGCCAGTCAATTCAGGCTTCTTAGGTTTCAGTTTCCCTTACAGAGAAAGCAGGGGCTAGGACTCCTTTATCTGAGGGGTGTCTGCCAGCTTGTGTGTGATATCACACCAGTTAATTTGGCTTCTTAGATCTCAGTGTCCCTTTCAGTGAAATCAGAGCCTAGGACTCAATTATCTGAGAAATTTCTGCCAGCTTATGGCTGAATTCATGAAAGTCTCTTCAGGTTTCTGGGCCTCAGTTTCTACTTAAGTGAAAGACCAATGTTAAAGTATATACCCTGTGTGGGCACTTGAAGCCTTGGTGTTATTTTAGACCAGTCAGCTCTGCTTTCTAGGCCTCAGGTTCCATTTCAGTATCATCAGAGGAGTGGACCCCATGATCTGAAATGTCCCTCACTGCAACTCTCTGGGTGATCTCTGACCATTCACTTAGGATTTCTAGGTCTCTTCTTCCCTTTCAAGGAAAGCAGTGGCAAGGATTCCCTTATATGAGAAGGATCTACCAGCTCATGGATCAGTTTGTAACAGACACTTTAGGTTTGTGCACCTCGGTTTACCCTGCAGTGGCAGCCCTGATTTAAGATTGACGACCTATATAGAACATTATGAAATGTAAAATGGGTAATATTGATTATATTAAATTGAAAGGATTTTGCATACACACAGTCAATACAACCAAGAATAGAAAGGAAGTAGAAAAGTCAGAAAGAAGTTTTACAACCAGGGTCTCTCATAAAGGCTTCATTTCTAAAACATGTAGAGAACTAAGACAACTTTATAAGAATACAAATCATCTCCCAGTTGATAAACGGTCAAAGAATATGAACAGTCAGTTCTCAGATGAAGAAATTAAAGCCATCTGTAGTCATATAAAAAGTGCTCTAAATCACTATTATTTAGTGAATTGCAAATCAAAACAATTCTGAGGTACCAAGTTATACCTATGAGACTGGCCAACATGAGAACACAGGAAAATGATAAATGTTGGAGAAGATGTGGGAAAATTGAACACCAGTGCATTGTTGGTGGAGTTGTGAAATGATTCAACCATTTTGGAGAGTGATGTGGAACTATACACAAAGGGCTATGAAAAATGTTCCCAGCCTCAGAATCAGCAGTAGCACTTCTAGGGCTGTGTCCCAAAGAGATTATACAAATGGTAAAAGGAGCCACACGTACAAAAATATTTATAGCAGCCCTTTCTGCCAAAGAATTGGAAATTGAGGGGATGCCCATCAATTGGGGAATGGCTGAATAAGTTGTGGTATATGAATGTAATGGAATACTATTGTGCTATAAGACATGACGAGCAGGTGCACTTCAGAAAAACCTGCAAAGACTTGTTTGGACTGATACTGAGTGAAGTGAGCAGAACCAGGAGAACATTGTACAGAGTAACAGCCACATTGTGCGATGAGTGACTTTGAAAGGCTTAGCCCTTCTCAGTGGTGCAAGAATTTAAGAGGTCTCCAAAGGTCTTGTGATGGAAAATGCTATCCACATGTAAAGAAAGAACTGTGGAGTTTGAATGCAGATTGAAGCATATTATTTGCTCTTTTTTTCTCTGTTTTGTTTTGTTTCTTCTGTCTGGTGGTTCTTCCTATCATTTCTAACTGTTCCTTACAACATCACTGATATGTAAATATGCTTAGTAGGAAAGTATATGTATAGCCTCTATCAGATTGTGCACTGTCTTGGGAAGGGAGGGGGGAGGTGGGGGAGAAAAATTTAAAACTCAAAAGCTTGTGGAAGTGATTGTCGATAAATCAAAATAAATTAATAAAAAAGGAAAATTGGCCAAATGGAAAAGAAAGTACAAAAGCTAACAGGAAAAAGCCTCCTTAAGAGTTAGAATTAGCAGAGGGGATTCTGGGAAGATGGTGGAGTAGGTCAGAAAATTCCAAGCTCTCAAGATTTTCCCCTCGAAAGAGACACCCTAGCACCTTAGGGCAAACAAAGGGCCAGTAAAAATAAATCAGAATAGAGGTACACCAGGAGTCTTCCTGGGACAATTCTGGAGGATCAGAAGAACACTTTGAGAATGGATTTGGCCCCTGTGAAGATTAAACCCCTCCAGGCTAGGGGCTGTGTTAACAACAAGCTGCAAGCTGCTTAAACAGCAAGCCCCAAGCCCTGGGGTTAGCTGGTTTGGGAGGCTGCCTGAGCCCCAGCAGCTACAGGAAGCTTTACCGCCCCCTCCAGACTAGGAGGGGAGTAGGGAGTCTGAGCCAGGAAGATCAAAGGAACCTCTGCTGACAAGGAAGGCCAGACCCAGCTGTGAGGCAGAGAGTGGAGGGGGCAGAAGGAACCGGCCACGCCCACCTGGTGATGGCAGAAGCAGTGGGGCAGAAGGCCCCTGGCTGTGGGGCTGAGAGGAGGCTGCAGGTTTGGCTTTGGTTTCAGGCCAGGGGGGAGACCTGAAGAGCTGGGGCCAGGCTCACCATCCCCCTACCCCAGGGCTAGAGGTGATTACCCAAATGAAGCTATTGCTACAAAAATTCACAGGCAGAGGAGAAAGAATCCAACCATAGAGAGCTATAGTGGGAATACAGAAGACCGAGGTTCGTCTTTAGAGGAGGATATTAAAGCACAAAAGCCCCTCCTGCCCCCAAAAGTAACGTCAAATGGCCACCTGCCCTAAAAGAATTCATAGAAGAACTTAAAAAAGAGTTTAAAAATCCAAGGAGAGGCCTTAGATTCTTATAATCTAGCCACTGCTTACCCATGTTCAGACTTTTCAACGGTCTGCCCAATATGACAATGTTCTAATAAACCTTGTCTTTGGCTGAAAGAAGGCTTGGGTCCAATTCTTTCAGGCAGAACCCACGTATTGTGATTTTGGGGTCCTGGGACCCCTGAACCCCTAAACCGTGTCATTTTGGTGGCCCATAGGGGGAAACTGCCTAACCCCAAGTTCTTCTCCAGGCAAGACTTGGAAGGTATGTAAGCCTCCCCTCCCTCCTTTCTTGCTCTGCAGTTAGGGTTGCTCTCCAAGCACCAAGGCTTGGAGGTGCTTTTCAGGCAGACAGGACAATCTGTATTTTCATAAATACTCCCCAATGTAATTGAAAATGTCCGTTTTATCGACATGTGGTTCAATGAAATAATTACTTTCATTTTTTCTTTATTGACTTGTAAATTCACCGTTTCATTTTTGTTTTTAGTAATTTTGTTTTATTTTTGTTTTAATCAAGTTACCAAATTGCTTATACATGTATTTTTTTGGTAAATCAGCTTCTAGTTTCATTTACTATTTCAATTTTTCTTAAACATTTGTAATGTCAATTGACTTATTTTAATAGTTTGTCTTTTTTCTAGATGAAAACTAGAGCTACACAGTGGTCTTTTACACTGGACAATCACAGGGGTGAGGTAGGTATGGTTTCTCTAATTATAATTTCATTTTAAACATTAAGAAATTCAATTATTCCTTAGTCTTTTGCAATTAAAATTTTAAAAAGATTTAGAGTGTGAAACTGTAAAGAAACTACAAGGTGAAGTAGCCTTTTGAAATCTGGATGTTCAAATTACACACAAACTCAGACAAGATCTAATCAAATCGGATTGTGTTTACTTTTTATATGGCCCAAATAATCTAAATGTGTTTTTGTTAATATTTTGGTCATGTCAAAAAATATAGCCTTTTGTGACTTATAACCTACTTTGTACTTCTAATAGATTTGTATCACAGTACATTTTGTACTTATAATACAAAAGTTATAACTGTTACCCCAAAAATATGATTTTTGTCTAGTTACAATGATACTAATACCATATTGACTAAATCTAAGCCAGAATTTTAGAGAGGGAAAACTGTATGGAATAGAAATTCATGCTTTCTAATATTCTCTTGTTCTTTAGTGTATATTAAAACGTTTATTGATTGCAGTTAAATCAAATTTAAAACAAATTTTAATAAAAGATATAAAGCACTTACAACTGAATAAAAAAATGGCAACTGGGAATATGGTGGTGTTCTTTGACAATCACGAGAACACATACTAAATTATTGTAAACAATGTGTCTAAATCCAAGAGCAAATATATACATAATACAATTTTGAAACCTTCCAAATAAGACATAGGATAAAACAAGAATGCCTGTTTTCAAAACTACAATAATTCTAGAAATGTTAAGTATAATAGCAAAACAAGTAGTAAATATAAGACAACAATAAGAATAAACATAAGAAAAGAGTAAACGTTTTAGGTAATATAATAATGTACTTAGAGACCCCTAAAAAGCAAAATTAAAAACTTAATTGAAATAGTTAACTTTATCTGGAAGAAACAAAGAAGAAGAAAAAAGAGGAAAGAAGAGAGAACAGGAGAGAAAGAAAGGTAGAGGGGGAGATTTGAAAGGTGCTTTGATTCCCAAAGAAACTATATTCTGCTAAGTAGAAAGAAATACCACAGTAGTAGGTGAGGCAGCAGATTAGAGATGGTCTGGAAAGATGATTTTGAGAGTCTCTGCTGCTAAATATCAGCACATTCTGGACTCCTCAGTCTCTTTCACCTAGTACATTCCCTCATTACTACAACTTCACACCTAAAACACAGTTTCAGTTGCCATTCTCTCACCCCATCATCCTCCATTTCAGTAAACTCCAGTGGCTTCCTTATTACCTACAGGGTCACATACAAAATGCTTTGGCATTCAAAACCCATGATAACCTTGCTCTCTAATACATGCTCTTTGATGCAGTAACACTGGCATCCTGACTGTTCCATGAACAAGACACTCCACTTCTGGCAGTTCTGTCTGGCGCCTCCCCATCCCTGGAATGCTCTGATTTTGTGTGTCAGAACTGAAACCCCACCTTCTCTAGGAACCTTCCTCAACCCCTCTTGATTCCATTGCCTTCCCTTTGTTAATTTTTCTTATTTATCCAGTCTACAGCTTGTTCTGACATGTTTGCTTATTGTCTTCTTGTTAGATTGTAAGCTCCTTGAGTACAGGGACTGATTTTTGCACTTTTTTTTTAAAGCTAGTGTCTGGCACATAGAAGGTGGTTAATATTTCTTGTTTGATTGGTTGATTATCAGGAACCAAGGCATCAGTAATAGTTGGAAAGTCAGTTCAGTAATTTACTGAACAAGTAAAGTCTAGTACCTGCCAAGAAGACCCTAGATGATTTCACAGCAGAAAAATGACTGAACAATAACAATTTAACTTTGAGCAGCTAGGTGACAAAGGTATCAGCATGGAGACAGGGAGACCAATTTTCCTGCCTTCAAATGTGGCTTCAGACGTTTACTAGCTGTGTGACCCTGGGCAAATCACTTAACCCTGTTTGCCTCGGTTGCCTCATCTATAAAATGAACTGGATAAGGAAATGCAAACCACTGCAGTATCTTTGTGAAAAAAACCCCAAATGCAGTCACAGAATTGGACAGAACTGGAAAACAAAAAGTTAAGTTTATGGATTCACTGACATTTGTATTTGGTTTTTCTTTTTAGGGTGGTGGTCATTCTGAAGAATTGGAACCCTTGAAGCCATCATCCTCAGAAAGGTTAGTTGGTGTTTCTGACCAAAATATGGGATTTTTTAAAAAAAAGTACAAACATACCAAGGCTGCACATGCATTGAAGGTTATCCACATAACCGCTATTTCTGCATCTCCCACTCTTTCTCCTTCTGTATCTTTGTCGAAGATACACAATATGAGATGACTCAAGTTAGTGTATGAAACTGTGAAATTATATTGTTTGAAATATTGTCATATCAACTTTATTAATAATCTCACCAAGTAAGCCAGTTTTCTGAAAACTTGCAGTTCACTAGGGTCACCCTGTTTCTTCATTTGGCTTACTTACATATAAACATAGATTTTAAATTTTCTTCAGGAAACTTGAAGTTGTTGAACATATTGACTCTGGTGATGGACAGTTTGTGGATGAATCTATAAATAAATTTCAGTCAGATAAAAATTCAAATAATCTTGTTATGGAAAGCTTCAGTGAAGGTAAGTGATACCATATTTCTATACTTATTTATAAGTTAATATTAGTTATGGGTAGAAATTTTGGTTTTATGTTCATAAAATTAATTTTTATTACGAAATTATAGAGTCATAGAAAAATAGATTCATAACTGAGAGGGATTTTAGAACTTATCCAAACCCCTGATATTATAGATGAGGAAACAGAGGTACATGAAAGTAACATGGCTTGCTCAAAATCAGGGTGGTACATTCATATGGGAACAAATAACATACACATCATTATTTTTCATTAATAAACTCTTTGGTATATAGGCCCTTAGTTTATAAACTCTATCTGCAAATTAGTGATTTATGAATAGTTTTTCAAATGGTTGTTTATGTTTTATTTTGAACTTAAAACTGCTGGTTTTTTTCTTGAGGAGATGAGAGGTGAACTTTTGCCTTTCTTTTTGGAGCAAAGGCCTCCATACCACTTCTTGCTCATCTTCTGACCATGATATCTGCTCTAAATACTCATTATTGTCTTCTACCCATTGTTAACTTAGACTCTGCCCTTGGATTGCTCCAGCCATGATAGGTCAGCTTTTACCTTTTACCTTATCTTGACAGGGCCTAACCCCTAACCCAGTTAGTAAAGGTGTCCACAAATACCAGAAGGAACTTAACATCTCTACAAAGGGGCATCTGAGTGAAATCTATTTGCCAATCTTCTCCTAGATATGTGCCCCTTCTGTACACAGGTTTTAAAAGGGGTGTGGGGGAGGTTTAATGGCCCCTTCAGGGTTCACCTAGGCACAGATAGCATAGGATTGGCAAACTTTCTGGATATCTTGTGAACAGTGAAGCTAGATTTCACCAGAGACTAGAGGATGTTCTTTTCCAGCTTACATTGGTTGTCCTCTAGGATGAGGAATTAGCCCAAGGATGTCTGAAACCACCTGGATGAGGAGAGAGTATGTCCTCTTTCTTTGGAGGTGATAGGAATCAGGGAGCTGAGAGAGTAATGGTGCCACGATCAGGGGTAAGCTTACAGCTGCTCAAGTGGCAGAGTCTGTAAGTTGGTTACTTCTGACCTGATTGAATCCCCTTTTTGAAAATGTCCTTTAGAAGACAATAGATACCTCCCTAAATTCATGAACAGCTTACAGAAACTGTAAAATTTCTTTAGCATGTTTAATGGGGGAATATTTGGCTGTCAAGAATCTTCCTTTTCATATAGCCTCATGAGCATGTAAGACATGAAAAGCATATTTGAAATCAGTCAGGCCCTTTCCCAATTTTAAAGCCCTTGTGATGATGGCAAGTTTAGCCCTCTGGGCAAAGGTCTGAGGGTGGGGTGGGGGTGGGAAGGCAGTTTGTCCTCTAAGGTGCTAATAAGGCTGACTACTGAGTAGCCTGCTCTTCTCTCCCTGTCCTCACTGAAACTGGATCCATCTATGAACCATTCCCCATCAAGGTTTTCAAGAGTAAAGTCCTTCAAGTTGGGGGTGGCTAGAGTAAACAGAATCTAGGGTCTCCTCAGTCATGAATAATGTCACCCAACAGTATTGGCAAGCAGGGGTAGCTGGATTGAGAGTGTGGCACACCCAGAGAGTCAGATCTATTGGTGAGCCAGCCACTGATGGCTTCAAGATACTGTGAACCTGGTGAGGAGTTAGGACTTCTAAAGAGTAATTTTGGAGGCCTCCTCAATCAAAATGGCTATGGCAGCCACTGCCTGTAGGCAAAGAGCCACCCAAAGTTAACACAATCAAGTTCTTTAGAAAAGTAGCTACCAGGCTGGTGTCAGATACTAGCGCCTGGGTTAAAACTCCCATGGCATAGTCCTGCCTCTCATCAATATACAAGGTAAAGAAGGGTTTTTCCAAGTTGGGCAGGGTTAAGGCCCAGGTGGCAGTCAGTTTGGCCTTCAGGGTCTTGAAAGCCTTGGCCTGTTCCAAATGGAACAAGTGAGGGCCTTAAGTAGAGTCATACAGGGGCTTTGCAATAATACCAAAACAGGGGATACAGATTCTACAAAACCCTGCCATACCCAGAAAGGTACACAATTGTGTTTTGGTGGATGGAACAGGAATGGACTGTTTCCTTTCTGAGGTTAGAGTTGGAAGTGGGAGTCAGTTCATGGCCTAGATATTTTACAGATTAAGTGGCAATTTGGGCTTTAGCAGAGGAGACTTTGTAGCCCTGAGTACTGAGGAGGTTGAGGGTCTGTACGGTAGAGGCCAGGGAGGCCTCTCAGGTCAGGCTGCAGATGAGAATATTATCTCTACATGTTGAATTAGATTAGTGTTGGTCTCAGATCCCACAAATCTTTTTCCTAAAGCCTGGCTGAATAAATGGGGGCTATCTCAGAAGCCCTGGTGCAGGATTGTCCACGTGATTTGGTGTGGATTTGGTTTCCCTGGTGGTGTCCTCTCCAAAGCAAAACTAAACTGGGAGTCTTTGTGGAGTGGTATATAGAAGAAAGCATCTTTAAGGTCCAGAGTGGAAAACTACTAGGTATCCTGCAGGATCTAGCTAAGGATGGTTTAAGGGTTAGGCACTCCAGGATGGTTTGGGATAACAGCTTCAGTAACAGTCCTCAGATTACACTGTTTGGTTCTTTCTTTCTTTCTTTCTTTCTTTCTTTCTTTCTTTCTTTCTTTCTTTCTTTCTTTCTTTCTTTCTTTCTTTCTTTCTTGTAGGGCAATTGTGGTTAAAAGACTTGCCCAGGGTCACATAGCTTTTGAGTATGATGTGTCTGAGGTGGGATTTGAACTTCTGACTCTATGGTCAGTGCTGTATCCATTACACCACCTAGCCGCCTTCACTTGGTTTCTTACCTGGAAGGGTGGCTTATACTTAAAGAATTTCTCAGTAATGCAATCCCTTCTAGGCCTTGGACTTAATCAAATACTGGCAACTGTGGGGAAATAGACTAGGATCTTGGAGTCAGAGGAGCTGGGGATTCACTGTTCCCAGACCTAAGAGTCTACTACAGCCCAAATTTGTAGTGGAATATGGGGAGGCCTTGAGGAAATTAGCAAAAGTGCTCCCAAACTAGGTTCCCAAATTCACCATTAGCTCTACCTCAACAAAGGGTTGGGCAAGAGGAGAGGACAACAAAGGAGTGATTAGGGCCAGCTAGGTTAGGTGGCAGGGTGAATAGAGCACCAGCCCTGAAGTCAAGAGGACTTGAGTTCAAATCTGGCCTCAGACACATAACACTCACTAGCTGTGTGACCCTGGGCAAGTCACTTAACCCCATTGCCTAGCTCCCCCCCAAAAAAGGAGGGGTTACTAAGCAACAGATCCTCAAACTGGCAAAGCAGAGCACTTTCCAAATTTGCCTTTGATCCCCATGACATGGTGTGAAGAACTGGTAAAGCCAAAGTGCTGGTGTAGGACAGAATAAGTGGCTCCTGTGTCAGTAAGAAAGTTAATGATCTTACCTTCCACAAGCAGAGTTATTCTCGGTTCAGTCATGGTGATGGAGAAGGAGGGAACCTGGCTGGATTGAGACCCATCACTCCAAATCCTCAGGAGACTGGAGTGTGGATATTGGGAGGAGGCCACTTGACCCCCTTGTGGGCCGTCTCTCTGCCACTGTCCCTCCTGGTTGCAAATAGAATATGGAACTGGTGTCTTCCTCTTCAGTAGGCACTTAAGAGACCACTTATGAGACTTAAGGCACTGAAAGTATGAACCCTACTGGGTACTAGGTATGGCAGCAACCTAAAGTTGAGCCTGTTCTCTGTTCCTTGCCCTAGCCTTGTGGTCCTTATCTTGTGCAGCAGTTTAGTCCCTGTTGTTAAATACTCCAAATGCTGGGCCTAAGGTGCCTGGGGGCCCACTGCTAACTTTTATAACTTTTTCTGGATATTTGGGGGAGAGATTGACTAATGAAGTGCATGCTGAGAATGCATAGTTGGGTCCAGGTTGGTATATTTCTTGAGGGCCTCTACCAGCTTGTCTTGAAAAAAGGTGGGGTTCTTCTTGGGCCCCCAGGGTAACCTCCTTAAGCTTGTCATAGTTCAGCTGTTTCCTAATACCTCTTTTCTTCCCATCGTTTAGGCAGGTTAGCACGTAATGTTTCCTTTTCCTATCACAACTGCTTTCTTGGTAATCCCAACCTGGGTCTGAGACGGGAACTGCTGCTACCCTGGAAGGGGGTGTATATTGTGACATTTTTGGCAGGGTGGTCACCAGATTTCTGGGCTAAATCCCAAATTCTCCTCTTTTCTTCAGTAGCATAACAAGAGGAAATAATGATGTTAATGTATCCACATGTTAGGTCAAGTTGAGGGGCTATAGTTTTTCTCAAGAATTTCAGTTTTTGGAAACTTCTGGACACTAATTATAGGACTCTGAGGACAAACTTGCCATTTTGCTCCATCCAGCAGCATTCAAAGACTTGTTTTTTATTCTGATATTCAGGGTTGATTCAGTGTTCTTAGATAGTTTCATAACAATTATTAATGTTAAATTGTGGGCAATATGGTTGTACAATCAGAACTAGTGCAGAAGGACGACACAGATGATTTTCAAGAGCCTGAAGTTAGCAAGAAAAGTAAAATTGAAACTGAAACTCTCAAAAAGTGTGTTGGTAAGTAGTTTAGATGAAAATTAATTTCAGATTACCTTTTGTATTTTATTTTATTTTTTTAAATTTTTAGGCAATTGGGATTAGTGACTTGCCCAGGGTCACACAGCTAGTAAGTGTCAAGTGTTTGGTCTGAGGCCAGATTTGAACTCAGGTCCTCCTGACTTCAGGGCCGGTTGCTCTATCCATTACACCACCTAGCTGCCCTCTTTATCCCATTCCTGATAAGAATAAGGTTCCAGCCCTCCTACAAGCTTCTACTGTATTGTCTTTTTCCCTCATTTATGAGAGATAATTACTCTTTTTTATCTCTTCCTATGCAGTTTTATTTTTTTTAAGAATTACCACATTATACACAGCTCAGCCCAAGCATTTCTTTCCTACTACTCAAATAGTGATGATGATCATAAAAATACTGATAATGTTTTCACATATAAGAAGTAAACAGTTTTACCTTATTTAGTCCTTTATAATTGGTCCTTAATGTTTATATTTCTCCTGGATCTTATGTGTTGAATTTTCCTAAAGTTCTGTGATTTTTGTCATAGATAACTGAAAATCTCTGAGTTGGTTAAATGCCCATTTTTTCATTTAGGGTTATACTTAATTATTTTTTCTGGGTAAGTTATTCTTGGTCATAGCTCCAGATCTTTTACTCTGCAGAACAGAGTATTCCAAGACCTACGGTCCTTCAGCATAGTAGCTGATAGAGTACTCACTCTAATTGAAGCTCTCGTGCCATTACAGTAGTTTCACCTAAATGCAAATCTTGCTGCCTCAGATCTCTTTGTATTTTGTTGTCACAATAATTTTCCTTAATGGTTGGTCTACTTGTGTTACTTCCCTCCTTGTGTCTAATCTAGCCTCTAGTGTAAAATATAAATTCATCAACTTGACTTTTAAAGCTGTGCAGTTTGTCCTCAAAATATTTTCTGTCTGACTATACTTATTTTCCCTTCCTTCTATTTCTCACATTGAATAGTTCTTCTGTTTCTGTTCCATTGTCATGATTGTTGTTCCACACACTTTCTTCCTTCTTTAATTTTTTTGCTTCATTTTATCAGACTCTTTATGACCCTGTTTATAAGTTTTCTTGGCAAAGATACTGGAATGGTTTGGTATTTCCTTTTCTAGCTCATTTTGTAGATGTGGAAGTTGAAGAAAACAGGGTTAAAATGACTTGCCCAGGGTCACACAGCTAGTAAGTATCTGAGGCTGGATTTGAACTCAGGAAAATGAGTTTTCCTGACTGCAGGCCGGGTATTTTCTCATTTTCTCTCTCTCTTTCTCTGTCTGTCTGTGTGTCTCGTTTCCTCAGTCTATATTATATTTATATATTCTATATATAAGTATATATTCAAATAATACATATATAATATATATATAACATATATAGCATATAAATATTCTCTCTTATGTTCTGTATACAAAATATATATGTACATGTTTTCTTCCCAGTTGAACCTATTGTTTAAGGAAATCTGTTTAAGGAAATAGACTATTTAATTTTTATCTTTTTACTGTAGTAATTTTAAAATATAAAAGATATGTTCAGGTATTTCAAAGGCTATCCCAGGAGAAAAGGAATACCCAAAGAGTTGCTTTGTTTTCCTCCTGTGATTAATTAATGATGAATCTTGTTTTGATTGCCATCCTAGTAGATAGCATTCCAGAAAAATTAGATGAAAGTTGTTAAAAGTTTGAGGATGGGAAATTACAGTTATCCATATATGCCTTGGGAGGTAGTGAGTTCCCCTGTCACTGGATAACTTTAAGCAGAAGTTGGACGATAGAATTTGAGAAAGATGAGATCCTTTCTAGTTCTAAAGCTTGTTAGTCTGTTAAAATTTGTGAAACTTGTCCATAATTTTCTATAAGTGTTCAACAGTATGAATAACGTGAATACATATATCTTTGTAGGTAGGATTCCTACTGATTAAGCAAATAGCACATTGCTTAAAATACATTGAATTATAAAAATACAATTTCAAGTGTTTTATACAATTTAAACTTTTATTTGTCAGCAGACCATGCTTGTGATTGATTTGTTTTAGGAGAAAGACTACATCGGATTGTGAGCTGCACTGCTTGTGGACAGCAGGTGAACCATTTTCAGAAGGATTCAATATATAGACATCCTGCACTAAACGTCCTTATTTGTAAGGTATGTAGTTATGAACTGGATGATGATTTTATCTGTGAACTATTATTCCTTTTGTTCTGTAGTAGTTGAGTAAATGACAGATCTCTTCTTATGTTTTAAGATATTCTTTTATTTATGCGAATTCTGCAGTGCTTTGTTTCGAAAGTTTAAGCTCTGTCTTAAGAGCTCGGGTTCAGTAAATATCAAACTTTCATAAAAATCAGACTTGGTTAATAAGTGGGTTAGTTTGGATTTATTTCACTTTTTAACTTGTATACATGAAAACAAACATGTGTGCCCAACTTGTGGTAGAGCCTTCTGAGTGCATACTTGTCTGATTGACCACAGCTGATCATCTTTGATTACAAAGGAAAGCAACCAACCAACATGTGAACAGACACAAGTTGTTGTTTTTTAAACAAGATGTTCATTTAATTTATGTGTTTCCGTTAACTTTCCTGAAGTACTCTGAAAAGTGTCGACCATGTGAATGACAGTACCCCTTTTGGGATCAAAACTTGTTTTCAGACAATTAACTATTATTAATTATTTATTATAATATCAATTCATTCACTTACTTTAAGGTTTTTTTAATTAAAAATATATTTTGTTGCTACTTTTTATTTTTATGTCACAATTTCTTCTGGTTATGGTATTCCTTTAATCCACAGAATTGAAGTTGTTTTCAACAAGGAAAAATATTTAATTAAAAAAAAAACCACCAAAAACCCAAACCCAGTACTCTGAGTGTTTGACAACTATTCTGCCCTTGATTGTCTCTGCTTCTGGTGAGAGGAGGATATTTGAGATTATACATTTTTGAGGATTAGTATTTGTTGTAATGATAAAAATATCTTTAATAATAGCGTTTTGTAGCTCTTTGAGGTTTCCAAAGTGCTTTACATATTTAATCTTGTTTGATGCACAACAACCTTGTGAGGCTAGTGTTGTTATTATAATACCTATTTTGCTCATAAAAAAAATTAATTCTGAAAATAGTTAGGTTACTTGAGAAAGGATTTCTTCTGAAGTTGTCTAGCATTCTATCAACTATGCCACTAGTCAATGTTGGATTTAATTTTGTTCTTTTCAGTTGTGTTATTATAGAAATGTTTTGTAGTGTTCTCTGGTTGCTATTTGTTTTCCTTTTATCAATTTATACAGTTTTTTCTTTGGAAATCTTCTGAGTTTTCTTTGAATCAGTTTTTTATGGTTAAAATGAATTCTTCATTCCTCTCTGTACTTACTGCATGGTAACATTCAGCTATGGTTATGTTACACATTTTGTTCAGCCATTCCCTACTTATGGGTTGTTACTTTGGTAGCACTTCTTTATTATTGCAAAATATTTTATTTTTTTTCCTTTGCTGTGAGTAAAGTTATCACCCCACTTTTATGTTTAAAGATATTGGCTTAATGGTTTGAATCATTTTAAAATTGTGCTTTGTGAATGTTAACATTTTAGTAGATTTTTAAAATGTAGAAATCAATGTTAATTCCTTTTTTAGAACTGCTACAAATATTATATGAGTGAGAACATAAACTGCAATTCTGAAGGAATTGGTGAGCAGTGCAGGTAGGAATATAATATCTAGAAAATATAATGAAATAATTTTATTTAATGTATCAGTGGCTCTTAATCATGTCAAATGTCAGAGATTATAGTATATGTTCAAAATGAGGGGGACACAAGTATTAGATTTCTAACTACAGATTTTTTTAAACATTTATTTATTTAATTAGTTTTAGTTATCAACATTTTAAAAAAGATTTTCCTTTAAATTTTCTTCTCTCCTTTACCTTCTCCCTCCTCAAGATGGCATGCAGTGTGATATAGGCCATATGTGTACAATCATAGTAAACATATTTCTACATTAGTCATGTTATAAAGAAGAATTAGAACCAAAGGGGAAAACCACGAGAAAGGAAAAAAACGACAAAAAAGTGAAAAATAGTATACTTTGATCTGTATTCAGACTCCATAGTTCTTTCTCTGGTTGTGGATAGCATTTTCCATTATGAGACTTTTGGAATTGTTTTAGATCCTTAAATTACTGAGAAGAATTAAGTCTATCAAAGTTAGTCATCATATAGCGTGACTTACAGTGTACAATGTTATTCTGGTTCTGCTCACATATGTATGATTCTGTTCATATATGAATCTCTAGGTTTTCTGAAGTCCACCTGCTCATCATTTCTCATGGCACAATAGCATTCCATTACATTTATGCACCACGACTTGCTCAGCCATTCCCCAACAGATGGGTATCCCTTCCATTTCCAATTCTTGGCCACCACAAAAAAAGCTGCTATAAATATTTTTTATACATGCGGGTCCTTTTCCCATTTGTATGATCTCTTTGGGATACAGGCCTAGAAGGGGTATTGCCAGGTCAAAGGGTTTGCATGATTTTATAACCCTTTGGGCATAGTTCCACATTGCTTTCCAGAATGGTTGGCTCAGTTCACAACTCCACCAACAACGCATTAGTGTTCTAATTTTCCCACATCTCCAATATTTATCATTTTTTTCTGTTTTTTCGTGTTAGTCAATCTGATAGGTGTGAGGTGGTACTTCAGAGTCATTTTGATTTGCATTTCTCTCAAATCAGTAGTGATTTGGAGCACTTTTTCATGTATAGCTCATGAGGCCTTTCTCAGAGACACTGGGCGTCAAACTGCTTTCCCAGCTTTCTGCTTCCCTTCTAATCTAGGTTGTATTGGCTTGGTTTGTGCAAAACCTTTTTAATTTCATGTCAGCGAAGTCACCCATTTTGCATGATGTAAATAATGTCCTCTAACTCTTGTTCAGTCATGAAGTCTTCCCTTCTCCATAGATCTGATAGGTAAACTACTCCTTGCTCTCTTAGTTTGCTTATAGTATCAGTCTTTCTGTTTCAATCATGTGCCCATTCTGACGTGATCTTGGTCTAGGGTATAAGATGGTGGCCTGGGCCTAGTTTCTGTCGTACTATTTTTCCATTGTTCCAGGCAGTTTTTGGTACATCGTGATTTCTGATCCCAGAAGCTGGAGTCTTTGGATTGAACAAGTAGCAGATGACTATAGTCATGGACTGTTGTGCCTTGCATACCTAACTTTTCCCAGTGATCCGCCACCCTATTTCTTGGCTAGTACCAAGGAATTTGGAGGATTGCTGCTTTATGATACAATTGAAGATCTGGTACACTTAGGCCACCTTCCCTTGCACTTCTTTTCATTAGTTCACTTGATATTCTGAACCTTTTATTCTCCCAGGTGAATGTTGTGATTGTTTTTTGGTTTGGTTTTGTTTTTCCCCAGCTCTATAAAATAATTTTTTGGAGGGGTTTGATTGGTACAGCACTGAATATGTAAATGAATTGAGGCAGGATTGTCCTTTCTATTATATGAGTTGGGCCTACTCCTGCGCAACTGCTATTTTCCCAAGGATTTAGATCTGACTTTCTTTGTGTGAAAAGTGTTTTATCATTATGTTCATATAGTCCCTGAGCTTGTTTCAGTAGGTAACCTTCCCCATATTTTCTAATGTCTACAGTAACTTCAAATGGAATTTCTCTTTCTATGTCTTGCTGTTGGCCTCTGTTAGTAATATATAGCAATACTGATGATTTATATGGGTTTATTTTCTATCCTGCAACTTTGCTGAATTTGTTTATTATTTCAAGTAATTTTTTACTTGATTCTCTTATCATATCATCTGCAAAGAGTGATAGCTTTGTTTCTTCTTGGCCTAGTCTAATTCCTTTGGTTTCTTTTTCTTCTCTCATTGCTAAAGCGAACATTTCTAGTACAATATTGAATAACAGTGGTGATAATGGACACCCTTGTTCCACCCTGCCCCCATCTATTTTGGAAATGCTTCTAGCTTATCCCCATTATATATATACTTGGTGATGGTTTTTGATAGGTGTTACATACTATCATTTAAAGAAAGACTCCATTTATTCCTATGCTCTCTAGTGTTTTTAATAGCAATGGGTGTTGTATTTTGTCAAAATTTTTTTCTGTATTTATTGAGATAATCATATGATTTCTGTTAGTTTTGCTGTTGATATGGTCAGTTATGCTGATAGGTTTCCTAATATTGAACCAACCCTGCATTCCTGGCATAAATCCTACCTGGCCATAGTGTATTATCCTTGACAAAAATTGTTGTAATCTCTTTGCTAATATTTTATTTAAACTTTTTGCTTCTGTATTCATTAGGGAGATTAGTTTATAATTTTCTTTCTCTGTTTTGGGTCTTCCCAGTTTAGGTATCAGCACCATATTGTATCAAAAAGAATTTGGTAGGACTCCTTATTCACTAATTTCCCGAGACTATACTATATAGACTATTATCTTTATAGTATTGGAATTAATTGTTCTTTAAATGTTTGATAGAATTGCCTTGTAAATCCATCTGGCCCTGGAGATTTTTTTTTCCTAGTCAGAGATATAAGGAAAATGTTTGTTTCCATAAAATTGAAACAACCACTAGAAAAGTAACTAAGTAAAACTGGATGCAGCCAGTCTTATCTTGTTTGGCTGGTAGAAGTCAGTAAATAGGACAAAGGTTAAGCTTTACTTAGAGTGCACATTCAGTTTTGTCCAGAGGTCTATCATACCTAACTTTTCTAATGCTCTATTCACCTCCTTAACTTCTTTCTTGTTTATTTTGTGGTTAGATTTATCTCGTTCAGAGAGGGGGAGGTTGAGGTCCCCCCCAGTATCGTTTTGCTCTCTGTTTCTTCCTGTAGCTCCCTGAACTTCTCCTCTAAGAATCTGGATGCTATACCATTTGGTGCATATATGTTTAGTAATGATATTACTTCATTGTCTATGGTGCCTTTTAGCAGGATGTAGTTTCCTTCCTTATCCCTTTTGATAACATCTGTTTTTGCTTTTGCTTTGTCTGAGATCAGGATTGCTACCTCTGTTTTTTTCTTTTTTACTTCAGCTGAAGCATAATATATTCAGCTCCAGCCTTTTTTTTTACCTTTCCCTGTATGTGTCACTCTTTTTCAAATGTGTTTCCTGGAGACAGCATATTGTAGGATTATGGTTTTTAATCCATTCTGCTATCCACTTTCATTTTACGGGGCAGTTCATCCCATTCACATTCACAGCTATGATTACTATCTATCTTTCTCTTCACCCTTTCCCCCCATTTATGCTTTTCTTTCTCCTTTCTCCTTTTTCCTCTTCCCTCCTCACTAGTGTTTTGCTTTTCACCACCATGTCCCTCAGTCCCATCTCCCTTCTATTAGCCCCCTCTCTTTTCTTCCCCTTTACTCTCCTTACTTCTTCCCTCCCTTCTATCCTCCCTCCCTTTTCTTTTCCTTTTCCCCTCCTACCTTTTACAGGGTAAATCTTGTCTGCCTCCTTGTTTCCTCTTCTCCCAGTACAATCCCTTTCCAACACTTAATTAGATTTTTTTACCTTCACATCAAAGTCAACTCATACTTACACCCTCTGGGCTTTCACAGGTCAGTGAGGGAAGGTGAGAGTGACTTACTTCTTACTGCACAATCTTGGCTCCCAGAAGTGGACCAACTTACATTTATAATTTTAAAGAAAATATTTTCATTTATATCATTTTTTTAAATTAGTAGATTTTCATTCCTGCTTAATTTTAATTTTTTGAGTCTTTAAGTAGTTGTTTGACTAAGAATGATGCCTTAATTTTTTTGTGTTGTTTTGTTTTTTGTACATTTCAGATGGTGTGCAGAACGTGGAAACCTAATTTGTTGTGACTCTTGCGATAATGCTTTTTGCAAAAAATGCATTTCCCGCAATCTAGGGAAAAAAGAAATATCAAAAATAATGGATGAAAACAATCAGTGGCAGTGCTATATTTGCCACCCAGAACCTTTGTTAGATTTGGTTGCAGTCTGTGACTGTGTATTTGAGGATATATCACTTTTGAGGCAACAGAATAAAAAGAAGCTAAAGTCTGCAAGTGAAAAGAGTGGTAAGACATGTAACCATCCACCTAAATTCTACTCCACCACAAAAGAAGAAGAAAAACCTCAGTTAGATGATTTTCACTCAGATGCTGTAACACATTCTTTTTCATCATTAATGGTTTCAAAAGACTTGATTACAAAGACTGAAACACTACTTGAGAACACTACAGTTATGAAGTCTAGTTTTGGACATTTTCAGAACAAATAGCCAGCAATTCAGAAATGAGCTCAAATACTATGTTAAATCAATTGAAAGGTGTTAGATCTGTAAGGAATGACATAAGTAAGGCTCATAAGGCATTAGAAGAATGCTTGAACAAGGAGATAAGCAGCTTGGTTGTTAAAGAAAAGAAAGAAAATAGCAAAGAAGGAAAACATGAGAATGCTAAAAAAGATGCCAAAATTAAAAATGTAGATAAAAAATATGAAGTGGAAGATATATTTGCTACAAAAACAAAAAGGTTTCCAAATGACAAAACTGATGCAGAAATTATAGTTCCAACAGCAACAACTGGTGAGGTTAAGAATACAAATGAATTTCAATATGAACCTGCATGTACTTCTAAATCTTTAGATATGGACATTCTATCCATTCCTTTTCAAGACCTGAAGATATTTTTGAGAATCAAGAAAGTTCTATCAATATCCAGAATGATGAAAATACTGAAATATATAAGGACACAGAAAATTCCCTTTTAGAAACAAATGAATCTTCAAAGTTGGCAAAGGAAGATCCATGGTAAAGACATTAACGAGGAAATTATATGTTAAGTTTTCTCCTTTTTCCATGTCAGATGCCTCATTGAAAGATATTATTAGTCAAGAGAAACAGAAGAGGAATATCAACAGGAGAGCAGTATTCCAGGAAATACTGAAGTCATCCCTGATAATGACACTGCACTATTTAACGAGGAAACTGACCTTCAAAGATCACCGCTTGTGAAAACAACATCTTCAATTGGACACATAGAAAAGGAGCTTGTAACATCTAATTCAGAAGAAAGTGGTGAAAAACGTAAACCAAGATCATCAGGGCAGTGGGAAAAAGAAGGTAGACAAGTTTTTTTGCCTGATGCTGAAGAAAAATTCAAGTTAATTAATAAAGAAACCAGTTCAGATGCAGATGAAAAGTCAGCTTTGTGGAAGGAGGCTGCCAAGGAGGATAAGAGTTCTTCAGAGTCTGATACTGATTTAAAATACGACAGTATTCAGAAGAAAATTGTATACAAGGCAAAGCATCATGAGCTTAAAGATCATAAAGGGAAACGAAAAAGAGAAGATTCCACTTATAATTCAGATAATGATAACAAAAAAGGTGAAGTGTCTGAAAATCCCAAGAAACAGCAGGAAGAAAATGATATTTTATCTTCATCTGACATGTGGGATAGTGGTAAGTCTGAAATAAATATTGCAGAAAATACTGATGCATCAAATACTGAATATTTTCAGTTGTCAGGTATGTAAAAATGTTAAAATCCTTAGAGATATATTTCTTTCTTTTTTATGATAGTTTTAAACTATGTTATTAAAATAAGCAAACATCTTAGTGTGTAGGATTGTCTTGAAGTCTTTCTTTGTTTACAAAACATTTTCCTTTTATCAACTCTATGATCAAAAGAAATTATAAATTGTTTAGGGAAAGTATCGTTCTCATTTTGCATATGAGTAAATGGAGAGTTGGTACCTAAGTATGGAAATTTAGGGAGGAGAGCTAGCATAAAGACAACTGAATTTAGAATTGGAAGGTTGAAGTTTATGTCCCGGTGTACATTTGGCCCTGTCACTTAATAGAATTGAGGTAAATATTCTGAAAATCTCTGTCTCTGAAATCCAATTTTTCTAACCTCAAGTACTGGCTTTCCTTCTTTCTCTGATCCTCCAATTCTCTCTAGGAATTTTTAAAAGGTAGTAGGTTTCTTCTAGGCATGTCCCATTCTGGGCCTCAGTGTCTCCCTTTTGTGGTACGATGTGGTTGGCCTAAGTGAGTGGAAAAGATGATGGAGCCAGCTTTTGTAAGATTTTTCAATGTTAGGCTCAGTATAGCTATGTTTTTTCACACTTAACCCAGTTTGTTTCAGTTTCCTTATATGTAAAATAAGCTGGAGAAGGCAACAGCAAACCACTCCAATATCTTTGCCAAAATACCCTAAATGGGTCATGAAAATAACTGAACAACAAGAACAGATGCTAGATATATAGAGACCAGTTCAGGAGCTCTCAAAATAATCATGAATCTGACCTAGTGTATCAACATTGAGAACATTATAAAGTATAAAGGAAGAATGAATGGACTTGATGTTTAATTGAATATAAGAGACTGAGAAATGGAATTGTAAAATCAGAAGTTTTAATCTACAGTGGTGAACAAATAATGCTATCTATAATCAAGAAATCCTAATAGCTAATTTTGTACAGATTTGGTACAGGTGATTTCAAGTTTCTGTACATGTTGAAATTTAAGGTGATTCTTTGATATTTAACTGGCAATAATTAATTGGAAATCAGTGGCCAAACATTAGAAAGGAGTTGCCATCCATACACCCAATCAATCATCTCTACTCGTGTGTGTGTGTGTGACATGTGTTACATATGTGAATTTGCACATACAGACATAATTTTATGTTTGTAATATGGATAACACATCTTATTAAAATGAAATTAAAATTTAAAAAGTAAATTTCACATAAATTTGTACTGCTATGTTGTTAAGATTAAATGCCTGTTGTACCTTTCAAGAATATAAAGTAGCCTCTGGGTTTTGATCACATTTGTATTTTCCTCAAAAAGTCTCCAGACAAACAAGAACATATCCCCACTTACTTAAAGCAAAATAACATTTATTTTCTCTGTAAGTGTTGCCTTAAAGCTTTCATAAACTAAATTCAACACATATACTTTAATTTCTTATTAAAAAGAATGAAATATACTTTTTTTTTTAAATTCAAGGAGATGAAACGAACACTACATCTGTTCCTGTTTTAATGGAAGAAGATGATGATGATCCTGAGAATTGGTATGGTTTCATCCCTGAAGTTTTAATTAATTGTAATAACTATTGTTATGGCATGTGAAAAACCAAAAACACCAAAAAGTTTGTTAAAAGAAAAACTTTCTGCATTAACGAGACTAAAGTTTATTAGAGATTTATACAACCAAAAATTATGAATGAGAATTTACAGCATATTCATTATTTATATTCAGAGGCACAACAAGTTGCATTTCTTTTTAATTTTGTATATTAGATGTAACATCAGTAATGAGGGCTTTAATCTTCTGTAGCTTTTACTGAGTTATAAAGATGCATAGAAATAGTTTTATAATTAAGGCAATTGTCTTTTGCTTAATCACATTTAATAAGAATTAGTATCTATCTATCTATAAATATATATATATATATATATATTTAAAAACTAGATATTATGACACCGAATTAGATTAAATTTGCCAATTTTTGATCCTTTCGAAAATGTTTTAGGGCTTTACAATACTCAGTGTCATGGCTTTTTATATTATCATAGATCTACAAATAACAGTGATTTTCTTTAATAGAAATGGTTTTACTCAATACACATTTTGTTGTTCATATTTTAAGTCTCTTACTCAGGAACCACAAATCAAAAGTAGATCCATTGGCATTTTGAGATAATAATTTTCTCTTTAAAATTCAAATATACGAGTGGCCATAATACCTCATTTTACAGAAAGATTATTGAAATCGTTTATATAGGTTAAGTCAAGCCAAGTCACTCAGTCAACAAGCATTTTATTAAGCATTTACTATGTGCCAGCCAGGAAAAAAATTCCCTGCTCTCTGGGAGCTCACATCCTAATGGAGGAGAAAGCATGTAAATACCTATACACACAAGATATACATAATAGAAATAGAGATAGAAAGTAATCTTATAAGTAATATCAGAGTAAGTTATTAAAAGATTTCATTCAGTAAGAGGTTTTCCTTACCTCTTCATCTCTGCCTCTTGGCTTCCCTAGATTCCTCCAAGTTTCAGCTAAAGTCTCATTTTCTGCAAGAACCCTTTGGTTGGTCCTAATCTTAGCGTCACTCCTCTGAGACTATTTTTAGTTTATGCCATATTTAGCTTTTTTGTACATAGTTGATTGAATGTGGTCTCCTTTATTAGACTGTGCATTCCTTGAGAGTAGGGAATTCTTTTTTCTGGTTGTTTTACATTCAGGTACAAAGCATTAGGTTAAGAAATACTTCTTGACACAATATATTTTTGTGCTTATTTTACTTCACAACATTTGGAAGTTCTTGCTATTTAAGTCAAATATAAATGTAGTCATAAGATGACTGTTTTAATAATTATTTTGTTGTCTATTTTTCTTGCTTAACTTTTCTTGGGTTATTTTGGATTCATAATTACATAGTGTTATTTATTTGAGAATTAGTTTGTTCTTAACTAGAGAAAATATCTTATCTTAAAGGATTACCAAGAAGACTCTCTTAGAAGAAATAAAAGCCAATTTTTCCTCAGATGAAAGTGAAGAATCAGATGATACTAAAAACATTACTGAAAAGAAAGATGAAACAAATACAAGAAGTGAGGGTGAGAAGCATCAGAAAGATATACATGAATATGTTTGTTTCTTAGCTTTATTAGCTCATTGTGCTCCTGAAAATTGTAAAATTAATAGCTTTTTCAAACAGATGCCATTTACAGAATTGTTGGGAACCATTATAGCATTTAAATATGTCCAATGACATAATCTAGTTGTTGACAACATGAAAAAGATGAAAAAAACCCTTTTTTTAATGTGGCATTTTAGCTCAAGAAGCCAAGTATTATAAATGTTTTGTTAAAAAAGATTTGTAGTTGTGAGGTGAAGTTTGGATAGATCTTAAGTACTCAATACTCAGATGAATCTGTGATCTGATTTATTCAAAAGCTGCTTCCAGGGATGTTAGATCACAACCCATTTGTGTGTCCACATAAATTCCTTTTTTTTTTTTAAATTTCATTCTTAGGGATTTGTGAAAAAAGCAATTTGAAATCTGATTCAGACTCTGAGGAAATTAAGAAGCTGAAATACAGATCCCCACTGGTTACATACAATCTAAATATAAGTGGTGGAGAATCTGCAGAAGAAACAAAAGAAAGCAAACACAGAAAGAAGAGGAAAGGTAAAAGTGAAATTCCTTAAATTGGTACAGTGGAAAGATGCCTGCTTTCATCAGTTAAATCAACA